ATGCAAATAAAAATGTAAAAAGAAAAAAAAATGGGGAGAGTGAGGGAGATGGCACAGTTCTAAAGTACTGGCATTCAAGTATGAGGAGCTGAGTTTGAATCCTCAGCACCCACATAAAAGTCTAATGCAGCAGCCACCATCTCTAAACCCAGTGCTGGTTTTGGGAAACCAGAGACAGGAGGCTACCTGGAGCTTGCTGGCCAGCTATTCTAACCAGTGAATACTGGATTTAGAGCGAGAGCAGCCTCATCTCAAAATAATAAGGTGGAATGGGGCTGGAGAGACGGCTCAGCAGTTAAGAGCACTGACTGCTCTTGCAGAGGACTCGGGTTTGGTTCCCAGCACCCACATGGTGGCTCACATCTGTAACTCTAGTTCCAGGGGATCTGATGCCCTCTTCTGTCCTCCACGGGTATTGCATGCACAAGTGCACTATCACACGCAGGCGATTCACTTACATAAATAAAATTTTAAAAAAAAATAATAAGGTGGACGCCTGTGGAAGGAGGCGGTGCCTGTGAGCAGAGGCTGGGGCAGGGCAGGGTGGCACCGGCTGTGCTGGGAGAGCTGAGCACCAAGAACCGGCAGAAACAGGCCAAGCTGAGGTGCGTACATAAGAATGTGATTCCTCAGGGCATTGTGAAGCTGGATCCTCTATGACCCTGGGATGTGGTGGACACAAGCATCCACTGCCCCAGCAAGAAACTCCCAGGCTTAAGTAAGGTGTGACTCTGTTCAAGAGTCCAGGGTAGTGCCACAACCCTGAATAAACTAATCTCCGTGTTGACTGCTATAGGTTTTTGTCTGGACAAAAGGTGTTTGATGGCTGGTGATGGCTAATGGCAGAGCTACCAGCCCACCGTCCCCAGCCCTCCTGCAAGAAGCACGGCAGGACATATGCTGGTCAGGAATGCCTGGCTCCTGGTTCCTTGCTTGGCCTGCTTTCTTCCAAGCTTGCCTAGGGCCCAGCCCTACTAGAAGCCACAGCACTTTACAAGCAAAATCTGCCTTCTTCCAGCCCCTGGGCTGAGGGGGCTGTACCCAAGTGGGAACTTCCTTTCCCATAGGTCCCTTACCCCCTAGTCAGAGCATTCCCACCATTTGCTATCCCGATTCCTCCTGTATTGGACAGACTGGGGGCAGTGCCAGCCTGATTCTTCCTGCCTACCTGTCACTTGCTCCAACTCTAGGATGGACAGTTTGCTGGCTGTTAAATAGGAACCCAGAGCTGGGCTGACCCTTCCTTACTTCAACTAGTTGCTCCCCTTCCCCACCAATAGAGAGGGTACAGGCCAGGGTCAGGAGAGGCTGTGGATGCCTGTACTTATGGCAACTTGCCCAAAGCCATATATTCAGTCTAATCTCCCTTATTTTTGCACCAGTTGTCACGTCCCGTCCCTGTCCTGTCCATCCCCGTCCCATCCGTCTGTGTGTCGTCCGTCCCGTGCCGCCCCCACCCCCAGGTGTGGAGGAGGAGCTGCCTACCACCCAGTGGTAAGAAACAACAGATTAGGGCTGGTGCCAGTAGCTATGAGGCGCCCACTATCCACTTCAATAGTGTCTTCACCCTTTCGGGATCAGTCAAGGGAAAGTAGTGGAACCCCTTTGTAGGGATAGAAAGAGGGGAAAACACATAAAAGGAATACTTAAAATTTGAAATAATCTAGACTTTGATGATGTTGGGACAGAGTCTGATTTCTATGTAGAGTTCGCCTTTTTTTTTTTTTTTTTTTGGTTTTTTTGGGGCCGGGGTCTCTTGTGAGCCCCAGCTGTCGTGAAACCCATTTGGTAGCCCGGGCTGGCCTTGAACCCACAGATCTCCCCCTGCCTCTGCCTCCCGAGTGCTGGGATTAAAGCCGTGTGCCACCATGCCCGGCGAGATAGCCTTTTTTACAAAATAAATAAATAAATAAATCCTTATTTGAGGAAGCTCTGTGCTTCTTGAGTGTGGGAAACGGCTGAGAGCACCCAGCATAGGAAGACTGTGTTGTGTTATTTGTTCAATTTCAATAAAATTATTTGTAGGCCCTGAAAAAAAATAAGGTGGAATACAGTAGACAAAAACACCCAACAGCGACCTCTGGTCTCTACACCTACAGGCATAGGCACGTGCACACACACGTGTGTACACCACACATAAGCACCAACAAGAAATAACAATGAACTTTATTACAAAAAGAATAAAGGCACTTCTGATGTTAAAGCTCCCACAAAGCTGATTGGCGGATTAGAATTCCTGATTGTGGACAGCTGAAATGTTGCTGATTCAGAGCCAAATTATCTTGGGCTAGCTTCAGTTCCCTTAATAGCCATTTATGCCTGATGAGGTGTAAACACCAGCACTGAGCCTGCGGACCACTGGGAGACACTGGGGTTCTCAGGAGATCCTTGACAGCTAGGGGACCCCATGAAATCCATTCATAACACAGGCTGGGACCCAGAAAAAAACAAAGCCCCTGCCTTGGAAGTACCCACCCATACACTCCCTTCCTACCAAGGCTGGGATGTAGCTCAGTTGATAGAGCACTTGTCTAGCACCCAAGGAAACCCTGGGTTCCATCCCCAGCATCACATAAACCAATAAGATAAACAACAAGTTAAAAAAAAAAAAAAAAACAAGAAGTCCAGACTTCCACCTTGACCAGATCTCCAGGGTGAGGGGACTTCTTCCAGACCCAAAGCCCACCTCTGCACCTTGTGGGGGCCGCCTGGACTTGCCCCCTGCTTTCTCCTTCTTCCAAGCCTCATCTCAGCATGGGGTCCCCCTCTCACCCTGTACTTCTCTGATGACTTCTCAGGCTCAACTGCTCCCCAAATTCTACTGAGATGCCTGCTATAGGCCAGGCCTAGGGCTGGGTGTTAGGATCCTGCAGTGGTCAAGGAAGAGAAGACCGCAGCTTTATGGAGCTCATACCGTGTGTGTATGTGTATATGTACGTGTGTGTGTGTGTGTGTGTGTGTGTGTGTGTGGTGTGTGGTAGAAGGACTGCCAGAGCATGAGTAACTGGAGAGAGTCTCAAAAAGCAAGATGAGTTATGCTTGCTCAATCTGACTGACCACACAACACAAAAGTAAAGTCTGCTGTGCTGAGTTTAAAAAAAAAAAAAAAAAAAAAAAATAAATATGAAAAGGCCCGGGGCCCTGGAGACAGCAAGAGGGGACCAGTGTGTCTGGATTGCAGCGAGTGGGTAAGGAGTAGGTAATGAGAAAAACTGGGAAGAATTTAGATTTCTTTTATGCTTGAGTGTTTTGTTTTGATTTAGTTGGCGGATTGATTTTTTTTAATATTTTATTTTTATTCATTTTATGTGTATGAGTATGTTGCCTGCATGTGTGTAAGTGCACCCGTGTCATGCAGTGCCCATGGAAGTCAGAAGAAGGCATCAGATCCCCTGGAACTGGAGTTAAGGATGGTTGTTTGCTGTCATGTGTGTGCTGGAAACGGAATCTGGGTCCTCTATAAGAGCAGTAAGTGCTCTCAGCCTCTGAGCCATCTCTCCAGCCCAGCTGCTTGCTTTTTTTTTTTTTTTTTTTTGAGACCGGGGCTAAAGATAAACTTGAGTTCATGATGTAGCATAGAATAACCTTGAACTTCTGATCCTCCTGCCTTCCAGTGCTGACATTACAAGCCTCTACCACCTCTCTGGTTTATCTATCTATCTATCTATCTATCTATCATCTATCTATCTATCATCTAT